CTTCGCATGCATCACATATTTCCAGAAACTGGGATGTTATACTAACTAAAGGGATTGGGTGGCTAGTTGGTAATGGAGAATCCATTAGATTTGGGAAGATCCGTGGCTCTCCTTAAAAGAACCAATGATCCCTGTTGGTCCGCCACCACTCCATGCTGCAAACCTAAGGGTCTCAGACCTTATCTCTACTTCAGATCATACATGGAATTGGAGCACCATTAAGCAATACTTGCCTATGTATGAACCTCATATTCGGCGACTGGAGTTGGGCTTTACAAGACATGTCGACTCCTTGGTGTGGCTGCGAAACAACAATGGAATCTACACGACAGGCAGCGGCTATGGACTTAAAAATTCAGTCTCCGCCTCTCCACAATTTCATAATTTCAACTGGCAAATAAAGCTATGGCGAATTCGAGCCCAGCCTAAGCTGAAAACTTTTCTATTGAAGGCAGCAGTGGGGGCTTTAGCCATCAACGATCAACTTGCAACACTTGGAATAGGTAATACGACTGGGTGTATCCGTTGTGGTTGCTCTGAAACTATAGAACACGTTCTCTTCCACTGCTCTTGGGCAAAATTAGTATGGGATCTAGCGCCTTTGTCTCCGATAGATTGGAACTCGATTGACACAATGTTAGATTTCTTGATGGAGTCCTCTCGGGCTATGGTCCTCCCTCCTATAGGCATTACCAATGCGTCTATGCCAGCGTAGATTTGCTGGAACCTTTGGACTGCAAGGAACAATCTTACTTTTGGAAAGACGGCATACTCGCCGGAAGACATCATAGGAAAAGCAATCAGAGAATCAAAGGCTTGGGAAATGGCTCAAGAGACTATACCTAAGAGAAGACAGTCGGCTTGAGTTTCACTTGTGGATCCGATCAACATTGCAGGACCTGTATGTTTCAACGATGCTGCTTGGGATAAAGAAACACGTAAAGGAGGTTTGGGATGGTGCTTTCGGTCGGATACAATGGATGATTGGGAGGAATTCTCAGTTTCGTTGGTGTAATCCAAATCCGTGTTAGCGGCCGAAGTTTGGGCTATTATACAAGCCCTCAAAAAAGCAAGAGATAAAGGTTTTGACAGTCTCCATGTTTTCTCCGACTCTCAAGTTTTGATTAACTTGTTACACAAGAAGGAGATATATTTAGAGATTCATAATCTCTTGTTCGAAATTAGTATTTTAGCTTCAAATTTTTGCAAGCTTTCCTTTTCGTATGTACCACGAGATGCCAATGTTATGGCTGACTCGTTAGTAAAAAGAGCTTTTGTAGTTCTGAATTTGTCGACAGTTTCGACGTAAACAATAAAAAATTATGCTTTTGACCAAAAAAAAAACAAATCAAAATTGATGTAGTATATGGTATATCTAACAAAATTTTCCAAATAGAAGATTTTCTTTCTATATCATTACGTCAAAAATACAGTAGGACCACAAACGGCTTGTTAATGTTTTTTTTTTATAACAGCCTT